GTGTTCTGAGAGTTGTCCCAGGCACATATATGGTTTCCTTTGAGCTCAGAGTGGTTAAGACACTTGGCCTAAACTGGGCAGTGATGGTGCACACCTTTAACCCCAGCATTCAGGAGTCATAGGCAGGCACATCTTGGAGTTCAAGGCCAGCCTTGTCTACAGAGCAAGTTCTGGGACAGCCAGGGCTACACAGAGAAACCCTGCCTCAAAGGAAAAACAAAGCAAGGAATGATGATCAAAAGAGTGTCCCAGGGAGGCCCCCGCCACCGCTGCTGCTCTCCACTATTGAGTGTGGTGACATAATTTTAGAGGACAGTTTATGTAATTCATTTCAGTTTACCTTTGTCAAGTAGCCAGTGAGTGACTGTAGTATACTAGCATACAGAACTGTGGGCAGCGAGATGAAGGAACCAGGAAAAGACTAGTGCCCAGAATATATAAAGAGTTCTCACAAATCAATAATAAAAAGGTCATCCAAGTAAAGGCAGCCAGCCAGGTGTGGAGCAGGCCTATTATCCCGGGACATGGGAGGTGGAGGCAGGAAGATCTTCAGTTTGAGGCCATTCTGTATTGCACTAGGAGACCCTCCTCAGAAAAGCAAAGCAAAAGAAAACCATGCAAGGGCCATGCAGACTGTGGAGATGGCTCACTCGGTAAAGGGCTGAATTTGACAGTCAGAACCCACTTGAAAATGCTGGGCATGGTGGCTTGCCTTGTTACCCCAGCACAGGGGACATGAACAGGAAGGCCTATGGGGCTCATTGGCCGGCCGGCCTAATTGGAGAGCTCGGGCCCAGGAGACACCTCGTCTCAAAAAGACACAGTGGGGGCTGGGGACATGGGATATAACTTAGTGGTAGAGCCTTTGCCTAGCATATATGAGGCCCTGAGTTCAATTCCCAGTACAGAAGGGGTGGCGCACTGGGGAGATGGCTGAGCAGAATAAAGGTGCCACCAAGCCGTGACCTGAGTCTGATCCCCAGACCCACATGGTGGAAGCAAAGGACTGACTCCCACAACCTCTGCACACTGGCAACACGCATGCACACAATAAACAGACGTGACTTTTTCTCTTTGAGATGGGGTCTCATTATGTAGCTCTGGTTGTCCTAGGACTTATGTTGGCCAGCCCAGCCTCAAAGTAAATATTTTTATTTTTATTTTATGTGTTTGAATATTTGCTTGCATGCATGTCTGCGCACACAGGGCAGAGGAGCGTGTCAGGTCCTCCCTGGAGCTAGAGCTGAAGTCAGTTGTCAGCTTCATGTGGGTTCTGGCATTCGATTGCTTTGTGGTTTTTGTTTTGTTTTGGTTTGGTTTTTGTTTTGTTTTTTTCTGAGATGGTTTCTCTGTGTAGCTTTGTGCCTTTCCTGAAACTCACTCTGTAGACCAGGCTGGCCTGGAACTCACAGAGATCCACCTGCCTCTGCCTCCCAAGTGCTGGGATTAAAGGTGTGCGCCACCACCGCCCAGGGGTTCTAGCCCAAGCCCAGGTTTTTTGGAAGAGCAGGCAGTGCTGTAACCATTGGGCCACCTCTCCAGCCCCAGGAATTGGTGTTTTTGTCTTTTTTTAAGTCAAATGATGACACTTGAGGGCCAATACCCAAGGTTGACCTCTACCCTCCACATGCCACACCTCTGTGGGCATGAATGAGCACATGCCCATGGAGCACGGTAAGGGCTGGAGACATGGCTGTGCTTGCTGCTCTTCTGGAGGACCTGAGTTTGGTTCCCAGCACCCATGGGTAGCTTGCGACTGCTTGTAACTCCATACTGAAGGGATCGGTGCCTTTGTCCTCTGCAGGCTCCTAGGCTCACGCAGACTCCTTCCTATACACGTAATACAAAATACAGTCTTTTAGAAGGTGGGGTGGCTCCGTGGCTAAGGCGCTGCCCCCAAACCTGAAGAGCTGGCTTTGCCCTCCAGGACCCACACGGTGGAGGCAAAGTGACTCAGGCGTGTTCTCAGGCTGACACACACACTGAGTGTGCAGACAGACAGACAGTAAGTGTGAACGACACAGGTTAGCAACAGGCCGCCCACTGAAAAGCCCATCAGGAGCGCCACAAGTGTGTAGAAGGGGCTTGGCACCATTGACTCAGGCAAGTGCAAAAGCAGCCTGCAGCGAGAAGTCAGGTGGTGTCTCCCTGCCCAGCACCACCCGGACCAGGTGAGGGCCATGGGTGGGGCTTGTGCGCCCCTGGGAGATGGCCCGTTCTGCCTTCCTGCCTCAGCCACACAGGACACTCACCCATCAACGTGGCTTATCTGTGGCTGCTCAGTGCCGCCACTGTTCCACACACTGAGGGGTGGCCATTGGTGACACACAGATCTCTCCCCTCAGCAGACAGAGGACAAAGACCTAAGATACCCTGCCAGCTGAAGGAGGTGAGGAGGGTACAGAGAGGAGCAGTGCAAAGGCCTGAGGCAGCCCTGGCCTCACTGTG